GGACAAAGGAGGTGGTTAGATGTAGTGATAGGCTATGACTGTGAGATTTTGTATCACCCTGGCAAGTCTAATGTGGTTGTCGATGCCCTGAGTCACAAAGTAGTGAGTGCTCGGATCCAAGACGTGTGCATGAGGATGACGGTGATGAATCCAATCTTAGATACCATTCGAGGGGCCCAGGTGGTGGTCGTAAGACCAGAAAACCGTAAAAGAGAGCGGGTGATCGGCCAAAATTTTGAGTTTGAGACGGATAGTCGAGGGCTTATGACCTTCCGTGGGTGGATATAGGTTCCATATACGGGTGAAGCTCGACGTATTTTGATGGAAGAGGCCCATAAGTCGAGATTCTCTATCCATCCGAGGGCCACCAAGATGTATTTGGACTTAAAAACGATTATTGATGGCCCTGTATGAAGAGAGATGCAGCATGGGTAGTCGAGAGATGCTTGAATTGTCTTCAGGTCAAGGTGGAGGATTAGCATCCTCATGGCCAATTGCAACATTTAGAGATTCCCGTGTGGAAGTGGGAACAAATTTCCATGGATTATATCACTAAATTACCGAGAACCGCGCGATGTGTCGATGCGATATGGGTGATTGTAGATCGGTTGAGGAAGAGTGCTCACTTTCCGGCGATCAGTGAGAGCTTTTTTGAGAAGAAATTGGCTGAGATCTACGTTCGAGAGGTGGTGGCACGACATGAGGTGCCAAAATCGATAGTGTCAGATCGAGATGTGCGCTTCACTTCCAGGTTCTGGAAGAAATTTCATGAGGAGTTGGGTACCCAGTTGCATTTCAGTATCGCATATCACCCACAAACAGACGGACAGAGTGAGCGGACGATTCAGACGCTCGAGGACATGCTACATGCATGTGTTATGGACTTCAGTGGAAGTTAAGACACTTATATGCCCATGGCTGAGTTTTCATACAACAACAACCATCACTCCAGTATCGATATGCCTTTCTTTGAGCTTTTATATGGGAGGAGGTACCGGACTCCCATCTGTTGGGGAGAGGTAGGACAGAGAGTGTGGGGAACACTGACATAGTGCTCAAGAAGACAAAGTAGATCCAGTAGGTCAGAGAGAGGTTGTTGATTGCCCAGAGTCGTCAGAAGAGTTATGCAGTCCGATGATGTTCAGAGCTCAAGTTCCAGGTCGGGGATTTTGTCCTTCTGAAGGTATCCCCGTGGAAAGGGGTGATTCGGTTCAGGAAGCAGGGCACATTGGGCACTAGATACATCGGTCCATTCAGAGTGATTGTATGAGTGGGTAAGGTAGCTTACCGGCTAGAGTTGCCTGTGGATTTGAGCCAGATTCATAACACCTTCCATGTGTCCCAACTGAGCAAGTGTGTAGCCGATGAGACAGCAGTGGTCCCTTTAGAGGACATAAAACTGACGATCGCCTGAACTACATTGATAAGCTGATAATGATCTTGGATAGGAACGTGAAGGTCTTGAGGATTAAAGAGGTGCCTTTGGTTCAGGTTCAGTGGCAACATCGGAAGGGATTCGAGTGTACTTGGGAGCCAGAGTCCGAGATGCGAGAGTAGTATCCAGAGTTGTTTCCAGAGGATGACTTCGAGGGCGAAGTCTAATCCTAGTTGGGGAGAATTGTAACATCCCGAAATAAGGTATGTATCGATAACCCTTACTTTTTATTGAATGTTAAAAGCTAGCCCTTGATTGACAAAAGGTGGAAAATGAGTACGTTGGGTGTACACATGTGTACGCTCAACGTACTCATGTACGCATGATGGACGTGGAGGCCACCTAGTACGTTAGGCGTACCAGAGGGTATGCTGGGCGTTCTAGGCTCAAAGTGAAAATCCTAATTGTGTGGTGTGTCCCTATTTAAGAAACATGATGGCCTAATTTCCAACCACCATTTCTAGTCTTCAACTCCCCTCAAAACCCTAATTTCCATTTTCTTAGCTTGAGTGACCATTTGAAGTTTTTGAGTGATCTTTGTGGATTCTTTGGGTGAAGAAGGAGATTTGAAGAGAGTAGAGTTGGAGTCCGAGCATTGGATTTGAGTTTCCTTGTGGTTGGTGCATCATTTTAGGGTTTATTTTAGGGTTTATGTCCCAAAGCTTGAAGTTTTATGAGTTTGTTAAACTCCAGAGCATAATACATGTCCCTTTAAGTGACTCTAGTTGAGTGGATTCATTAAAATGGGATCTTGGACATCAAGATCTCCCCTTGCATGATATATGAGAACTTTTGTGATTAAGTAGTGAGAGTTTATGAGTTTTAGACTTGCTCAGTCATGCTAAGGCTTAAAGTGACAAACTTTATGGAGTATTAGCCTTTAGGGAGTCCAGATCTTAGATTATAACTATTGTATTAATAGATTAAGACAAGGAGAATGGGAAAAAATAATTTTGGGACGTACGTTGAGCGTACTCCCAGATACGCGCAACATAGCATCGAAGTTTCCCGATGCATGCATGGTGAAGTAGTACGCACAGTGCACGCGCTGGTGTTGACTTTTGTTGACTTTTAGGGTTTGGTCAAAATGTGGACTTTAGAGGCCATGGAAGGGTAAAATGTTCCTTTATCCTTCTGAGAATTAGTAAAGGGTGTAGCCTAACATCTTTAGGGGTCGTTTATTAATTAGAGTTAATTACGATATATGTTAGGCGGAGACTAGACCCGTGGTTCCAGTACGAGACATACTTGCTTTACTTACGAGGCGAGTCTTCTCACTATACTTACTCGAGTGCCGATACAGTGTAACAGGAGGGTCTTATATGCTTATGCCAAGTTATGTGATATTATGCATTGGTCTTTGTGATTTATGTTGTATATTATTCTGTGCTTTATTGGTTAGGACCGGAGGGTCCAAACCGAGTTGTGAGATCGGTGGGTCCTCACTGAGACACACGGACCGGAGGATCTCATTAGAGATATAGCCATGAGAGGCTAAATGTTTGCATGTCGTATTTTGGGGAACTCATTAAGCTTCGTGATTACCGTGTTATGTGATATGATCGTACACACCAGTTAGAGATTTTGATTTTTAAGGATTCTAGGATTTTAATAAACACTTGTTGAATTGTGTTTTGACTACTTATATATTTTGTGGTCTTTTTGGAAATGTGATATCGAGTTATGAGATTTTAAAAATGAAACATTTATTTGAAAATTTACAATGTTACAATGATAGCATGCTAATTTATTTATTTATTGTAATGTGTTTTATTGGTCTTGGTATTGATAATGCTAACATTACTCCATTATTCTTTTATTGATATTAGTCTTTGTAATGTGTCGTATTTAACATCCTATTCCATTATTCTTTTGGTAATATTACTTTTTGTAATATACATACTTTGTTTTCCACATATTACATACATAAATACATACATTTTACATACAAATACACATAAACATTTTCCTACACATATTGATTATAGCATCATACTTATTTTTCTATTATAGCAACCTAATTTTTTCATTTTTCCATACATAAAAATCACATATATAATTTCAAAACTCATACACATACACATACACAAATAATACACATACAAAACAATTCCAGCAACAATTCCAGTAAGAATTCCAAATTTCTAAATAATAACCATACAAATAACACACAAAAACATACAAATCACATATATAATTTCAAAAGACATGAAAAGGAACCAGCGCTGGTGTAGTTTCGAGATTTGCAAGTAAGAATTCGAAATTTGCAACAACAATTCCGGCAACAGATCTGGCAGAAATAGATTTTCTGGCAAGGGTTCCAAAAACCTTAAATTAAACACTTAAAATCGGTAAGGAAAACACTAAAACAGAAGCTGAATAGAAAATCGGGGAGAAATTGGACCTTAAGTCGATCCTTTTGTTGTCAGAAATGAATGTGGTCGTCGGTAATAATGGAGCCCCATTGGTGGCCGGCAGTAATGGTTGTTGGAGACGAGTCATGTGGCGTAAACGATGGTTGTCGGATGATTGAAGGGTTCAGTCGCCGGTAATAGTTTGGAAGAAAGAAAGGAGGCAGAACGAACAGGAACAAGACGCAGTAGGGGGGGTGTTATCTGCGACAACTTATTAGCGTCGACGCTAGGGTTTTAGCGGCGACAAGTGGATATTAGCGGTGACAACCCTGGAGGGAAAAGTCAGCGCTTTCTTTATCATTTCCCACCGTTGAGTGAAAAGTAGATCGAACAGACGGGTTCATTTGACGCGGATCGATACTGTATAAGCATTAGTGGTGACGCCTTTGGCGGCGACATTCACTATTAGCGGCGACATGTAACGCGTCAATTACATGTCACCGTTAACAGTGACTGTCCTCGCTAAAGGTGTCGCCACTAATGTTCCCCTTGTTGTGATTTCTTACTTTTCAGAAGTTCAGGGATCGATCAGGTAACTTCCAGAAGTACAGGGGCCAAACTGAAGTTCTTCAAGAAAATTGAGATATTTTTGAAACTTTTCTGAAGTACGGGGACCAATCTGCTAGCTTTAAAAGGGATAGGGATCAATCCGAAGTATAAAGGTATTTTCAGGGACCAACATGCAGTTTTCCGGGATTCTAGTTAACCTGATCACGTTGCAGCTGACGTCAATCAAATTGACGCGGTCAACTTCTCCAGCCAGAGCAGTGTGTAACAAATCTGGAGTGGTGTCAAGAATTGTACAGCGTGTAACTTTTCTAGAATGCTGTCAAGAATTGTGAAATATTTTAGCATAGTCACAAATAACTTTTTCAGTTTAACAACGATTTTTTTTTCTTTGTGATAATAAAATGATTTGGTAACTCAAGGAATTAACAATTAGGAACACGATTCTCCTGTATAAAAACTATAAGGGTTTCTTAGATAGCAGAATTCAAAAATTATGCCAATAGCCATGTTTACACCATGCATGGATGTACCACATAGTATCTCTCTTGAAAAGGGAGGGCATGATCTTCCAACCTTTGTGGTTCATCACAATAAAAACATAAATCAACAACAACAATGTTTACTAGCAATATCAAAGACAATCAAAGAATCACCAATTTAACGCCACGTGGCGTTATTGATTGGATTTGTCGCTTGGCAGAATGTCGAGCAGCTTTCTCATTCATGTTGGAGAACCTCACTGATGTTGGAGTTCCCTTCCGAGCCTGGCACCGAGAATCTATCAAAATTTCTTTCAGCGCCACAGCATTGTCTATGAAGTAAGCCACAAGTTCAAGATCACTCCCTCGGCCATAATACCCATGAATCTCAACTAGCTTCAGGTGTTCATGGGGTCGAGTAGCACCACGCCTTATATCCCTTCTCCTTTTGATCGGTGAAATCCATAAGAGCTGCAAATGAAGAACAGTACTTGATTACATGCATGATTATTGTTATAATTCATAAAAAACAAAACTATCATCTGATATGTTAACAATATCTCTACAAAGATATCTATCGTATGACATGTTGTTTAAAGAATCGCGCGATTTGGAAAATCTCACACACAATAATATATCTAGTTTTGTAATCTCATAAAGAATACGAAAAGCGAACGGCACCGTAGGATCAACAAAAAAACATAATTTTTAAGGACGTACCTACCAAATACAATCGATAGACTAAACCAAGTATATCAATTATACAATGAACAAATGTTAATTTAATGGTTATTTAACCGTTACAATGTTTATTTCATACCGTGAATCAATAAACCAACACTTCTTAAAAAGGTAAATAAGGCATCCAAAGTAGAAGAATATATAGACCGCAAACCCCTTCGCGTCAAGTAAAACCTAGTAGGGGTTTTGTATAGGTGCCCAAAGTGGTACCCGCAACACGTAGTATGTATTTCTGCATCCGCCCCTGTTAGACTAACTGATAGTAAGTAGGGGTCATTTTGTTGTAAACACAATTCTTATTTGAATTTAACAAAACTTTTAAATTCCATAGTTTTCGATGTGGATGCTTATTGCGTCTTGCAAGATTACATACACAAATAAATACTAATGCAGTTCACAAGAGACCATGTGGAAAGAGAAGTATAACATGTTCTCATAGTTAATATCAGCAAGGACAATAATAAGAATAGCGTTTAGCCTAAACTCTGATATATATTTACAATTAAATGAACTTGTTAATTGGGCATAAGTACCTTAATCAGAAAAGCCTCCAAACTTGGACATGAGTTGGCTAGTGAAGCGACCTCTAGCAGGGAATCATCTTCATGAGCTCCAATTGTCAACCTCAGGTTTTTGACATTTGGTAGTTCAGGAATGGAAGCAAGGATTAAACTTTGCTGCAAAAACAAGAATTATTACTCTCATGAAATTTCCATTATACATTATAAAACACATTAGAGATTAACTACTAACCTTTGGTTGTCCTATTTTCAATGAAAGAGCTTGAATGTATGAAAAACAAGTTGATATTTTCCCAAACACATTAGGTTTTAACCTTGCAAGTCCTGGACCGATATCCAGTTCTTTGAGATTTGGAAGATCAGTGAGACCTAAATCTATGGCTTGACCGTTGTAGATGAATGTTATAAGGTTAAAATCATATAAATAAATAGCTTCAACCTCACAACAGTTTGTTATTTCTAAGTGTTTCAAGTTAAGAGCTTTTCCACCAATTTCAACATGCATCATGTACAGGGAGCGATGGATACAAAGCATTTCAAGTTGTGGAGAATTTACAAGAAGTTCCTCTAAGATTGCATTACTCACGTTAACGCTCTTCAAGACGAGCTTTTTCAGAGAAATTAGCTTCACAACTGCAACAGCTGATGATGGCCATTCGAAAAGGTGCTCTATGTTTCTATCTGATAATCGTAATGGGAAATTATAATTAAAACAAGGATCACGAATCTTAATCCCGTGCTTCATAAAATCCAATTCAAGCATTTCAACTCTCTTGTCTGCTGCGAATTGGAGCCACTTATCAATAACTTCTGCATTACCTGCACACAAATCGAAACGAATCCGAAAGTGTTGAATTACAGGTTGGTTGTAACTTTCGATTACATCGTTGACCTGTTTGAAGAACATAAACCGTGCTTCACGAAGAAGCTTCCGATCTGTAACGATATCATTTAATGTTTCACCAGCATCGAATTCCAATTTGTGTAACTTACACCACAAGAATCTCCATCTTCTGGAGAGACTGCCAGTGACCACTGCATCCTTGAGTGACAAAAGAGATATTATCACAAGAAGAACATCGTCCGGTAATTGGCTGATGAAATCGTTTGACTTTAATCCTCGACGACCACCCTTCACAGAATGCATGTCATTAATAATGTAAACAATCAAAATTACTTATATATATGTAAAACGGAAAAGGGTTACGACTTTCAACGAAACCCTAGGTGAAGAGTATGTTCATTAAAGATAATTGATTGTTGAAAACTTTTTGCTTTTACGCGTTATCAAAACAAAGATATGAAATAAAACTTTTAGTTGTTAAGACACTGGATTAAACATGAACAAGACCGATGTCATAAATCAGATTGATATTTAACAGCTGAAATTGTCACATTGGCTAGCTATTTTAGCAGCAAAATTAAGAAACTGCAATATGCAGCTTACAAATTGCACTCGGTGAATCCCTAGAACAACTGTATATATACTCATTAACGATAGATGATAGCATATGGAAACAAAATTTAGGGGGATAATCAACATCTGATTGTCACAATTAACTTCAATTACTTTAGATTCAAAATGCCCTCACCGGAAAAGTGAAATGCTAAGTCATTAATCGCAAACAATTCACAAGTAACCATCACATATAAAAGAGGTAAATGAAGAAAGCACCTTAACTCGATCAGCCCTTTTCCTCATTGTGGAGCTTAGACGAAGAAGAAAATGACGACAGCAGCGCAGGCGAGAGGTAGAGAGTAGAGCCTAAAAGTTGGCCAAAGCTTTTGAAGTAAAGCAAGTGTCCGAGCGATGGTTTTATATTGTCTTCTAGAAGCTAGCTAGATCCTGGAGTTCCCTTTGCATGGCCTTTTGATTGTAACTGGGCCCTGAATTTCGTTACATCCCGGTCCATGAATACGTTCCCACAAATTCGGTTTCATATGGAGTCAAGTTTTTGTTTGTGTAGTTTTCTTTTCAGCTTTACAGTTATTATTTTTTAACCATGTAATATTTATCTGAATAATTTTAAACTATCTTCTATGAGTAACTTGTAGTTTCTTAACTTTACAAATAGTTTCTTTATATGTTTGCAATTGCACCTTCATTTTCGTTACATGTTAACAATAAAATGATAAACAATGAGAATGACAATTAGTTGTGAAATTAGGTTTACCTAGTTGAAATTGTTTTCTTGCACTCATGTAACAATTCTTGGTCTTTTTTAAGCGTAAAATTATTAAAGACAAAAAAGGGGGCTCATAGTGACGAGTCTAAAACAATCTAGATCAAAAACGTATATGGTTTACAATGTAAATAAAATCGGTATATATAAATTAAATGGACAACAAAAATACTAGTAGCGTTTCGGGTTGTATAAACAAAGACGAAGAAGAAGATAAAGTTCTTAATATAGTAACACATGAGGTATATCTATATCTTGATATATTTTCCACAACTGTATCATTATTAAGATTATCCAAAACTTATTTGTCAATATATGATATTAAGCTATGACTAAAAAATGATCATTCATTTTTTCAATATATGATAGTAAATTATCACTCATAAAATCAACTAGGTTATTTCTTAATGGGTACACTATAAGAAACTTAGCGGCAACACAATATTAGCGGCGATACGTATTTTGCGCGTTACGCGTCGCCGCTAATAGTAGAAAACCACGATCCGCGTCAAAAACATTCTTGATAACCGTGTTCGTTGATCTAGACAAATTGAACGGCTGGAAACGATGTTTGCTCAACGTATTAGCGATGACATAAATGGCGGTGACACCATCGCCGCTATTGCTAAAAAAAACAGGTGCTATTTTTTCCCTCGTAAGGGCGTGACTGGTAATACCCATCTTCCTCTACTGCTTTCTATAATATGTTTCTTTCACCATAGCTATTGCCGAGAACGACAAATACAGAAGCAAAAACATTCTTGGTAACCATGTTCGTTGATCTAGACAAATTTATGGAAGCCTCATCATCACCGACGGGTGATTCACACCTTTTACAGGTGATTACATTTTTTTTACCAATTTTTTTTGTCCACCGACTATCTAAGTGATTAACTAATGATTTGGGTGTTTGATTTTGTGTGTTAAGCTTTGTTGACTTCTAATTTCGGGTTGTCATCATCACCACCAAAGTCACTGACAACAACGCCACAGCACCACCACCATTCTGAATTCATTCCAACACAAGTTCTATTTCATTTCATGAAGTATTCATCCGCCGATCAAGAAATTGATTAAGGAATTAAAATAGTTATGAGGTCATATATTAAGGTATTTCTTAATTAACGTGTGTAACTATTGTTTATGTATATGTACGTGCATATTAATTAGACATTATAGTAGTGAATTTGTGTACGGAAAAAATTAAAGACCACAAACCTAATCTTATTGAAATGTTTGTATTGTGTACAAATGTATTACAATCAATTTCTTACCATTTTTTTCAATTATTAGACTTTTAAAGTTCTCTAAATGATATTTCTTGTAAAGGTTATTGTTTGCATTTATTTTGGTTAATTATATCTGTAGATAGATGAAAAGTTATTTAATTTTCCCATAATGTACATACAATCTTCATATTCTATGCATTATGTTTGTATGTAACATGTTTGATGTATTGAATTTTTTTTTTTTTTTTTGCATAATGAATTTGTGCATGGAAAATTTGAAAAAAAGTAGGATTCAATAATGGAAAAAAAGTATGATGCTATATTGTGCATAATTCAACTAGTAGTTAGTACAAGCATATGATTCGAAGTTTATATGTTCCTTCTAGCAATAGAAGCGATATCTGGTCCCCTCGATAATTTGGTTTTGATTTACGTGTCGGGCCCGGTCAGAACCTGATTGATGTGATCAATTTAGTTTTATGTCAAACAAATCAGAGATCGAGAAACAACTTTTGGACAATAAGTACGAAATTGTTCCATGTATTTGTCTGACTCATATCTTAAGAACAGAGGCTTATATGATCACTTATCAAAAATGGCGCTTCATATTTCAACAGAGTTTTAAAGAGCTACGATTGTTGGTTGATTTCTGAAGTTATACATGCAACTATAATTATCAGACTTATCCAAGTGGGAGACTGTTGGATAAGGTGTCTAAGTCCGTAACTATATTTGTTATGAACTTGACCCGACTCGGTATGGTCCATTTGGGTTGCACTTCACCTAACAATTTGTATGTATATACATTTGAGAATAAGATGTTTATGATCTATTAATATATTATAAGTTATAATATATTAATATGAAATCATATTATTTAATTAATATTGATCAAGAATTGATTTTGGAATTAATTTACTGATCAAAAGAGGGTAGTTAAATATGGACTCTTTATATATATATATATATATATATATATATATATATATATATATATATATATATATATATATATATATATATATATATATATATGGATTGGGCTAAGATTTATTTAGGATGGGCTAAGAGTATATGGAAGTCCATGGAGCTTTTAACCCATAGATCCTAGGTAAATGAAGAGTCATGGGTATTAGGGTGTAACCATAATCCTCCATACTATATAAAGAGGTCCTTTGTTCTAGAATTGGCACTAGTGTGTGTGAGAAACAAGGGCGGGCCAATTTTAGTAAACTTCGTATTTTATCAAGTATTTCCAAGTTGTTTTGGGTTATTTGTGACACCAATTGAGGCATCCACACTATTGGTGCTAGGCTCTAAAACTCCAAGCGATCAATTACAAAAGAAAGGTATGTTATTCTACTTAAAGTTTTGTATTAGAAGTACCTCATAACATGCTAGTTAGGTTGTAAACCTTGGAAATCAAATTCGCACGTATTTTAGAGAAAACATAGATCCAAGGTTTCTAGGGTTGCATGTACACCATGGGAGTGTTAGAATGCTCAAAACCTAACATTTACATCATCACATCCTTTTCTTGGCAAACAACATTGGTGTCCCCCACAATGATGTACTATCTTGAATAAGAACCTTATCAAGCAAGTCCTGCAATTGCTAAATAATTTCTCTCATTCTTGTTGATGCTAACAATTAGGAATATTGAGAACCCCTGTATAAATGGTATATATGTCATACCATGTTCTCTTATTTTGTACCCACACCTGACTAGCTTTCTTATTACAATCTATGTTATTTTGGTTTTCGACAACCAATCCATTCCTATCACGATATCAAAATCTTATAGTGTTGTGGGTACTAAATTTAATGATGATAAATAATTATTTATTTCATTGAAGCAATCATTAAATTTTGTTCTGAAGACTACACAATAATCATCATCAATCTTTATTTCTACAAGCTTTTGCATTCATATTTAGGCACTTACAAAAAGTAATGACAAGAAATGCTTGCATCCACATCCAATAACACCCATAATGTAGAGTTTACTAAGAAAGTATATGCCAATATATCGGGGTATCCTGAGCTTCCTAAGCTGTCATATGGAAAGCTCTTCCTTTTGTTATTGTGGTTTTTGCCTTTTCATCTCCCAATCGATTCCCTTTCTCTGTCATCATGTATTGGTTATTGTTACCCTTATTTTGAGGACAGTTTGACCTAATGTGATATTGGGACCCGTACCCATATCATACTTTCTTTACTTTAAAATCTGAAGCGATATGTCCTATCTTTCCACATTTGTAGCAAGTTCTTTGGTTCATATTACACTCCCCTTTATGAAATCGTTTGCATATAGTACATTGTTCAATCCTATATTGTTGCTCATAGTTACAATCTAAACTAGAAGTCTTGCCTTTCTTTGAGTTTGTATTTGAACTTTCTAACTTCCTTTTTCCAAAATCCTTATTCTCACCCTGACAATTCTTTTCATGTTCTTGGCCTTCCGCAACATCTATAATAGACTGGAAGATACATGGTTTTTGAATTTCTACAAATTCATGAATGACGGTTTTTAGTCCCCAAATATACCCCAAACCTATCTTCTTTAGTTTGTTTTTGGCTATATAATACGAACGGGGAACATTTTTGTCTTTTGGAAATGCTGAATGCAACAACTTACGGAGTTGATTAAATAAACTATCAGTCCATTTTGTTGTTGACCTTAATATGCATAAGCTTTGCTAAAAAATCAAGGAAAGAAAACTTACAACCAAGATATAACTTGGTTTCGATCGCCTCTAACAACTGTTCAAAATCATCATCAACACCGCTAACCCCTTTATTCGAGGTTCCTTCATCGAGTTCGTATCATTTTCTCTCGACTCCCACATAACATCATCAATAACATCAGTCATCTCGTTACTTGGCAATACGACAACGACAACTTGAAGAATTAAAGGTTCACCGTGATATATCCATGTTTTGTATGACGATTGAAACTATATATACGAACATGACGTCTTATTGCTTTCAGATCCATGAAGTAACGATTATCACATTGCCCACACAGACATCTGGTTTCACCTTTACAATCTAGGTGTAACGTGGATCTCTTGACAAAAGAGTCGAGTCCTAGTTGGAACGCGGGAGATTGAAGATGTGGATTAGTAGTCCAACTTTTATCAATAGTCATGACACAACTGAAGCATAGTTTAGTGTTTAAGGTTTACTCTACAGGAAACAAAAATCAAGTGGAGTATTCATAAATTTGATGATTCAAAAAGTAATCCCAAGTATATATATACGAGGAGCAAAGAGAAAATGACAATTAAATATTTCTTAAACAAACAATCATGAATACATGTTTACATAATAAATGAGATAAAATATTCAAAAAGCAGTCCCAAAACGGGGACAACTCTAAATTAATTTTTAAATCAATTTTAGGCAAGTATTTCTAGGCTCTTAATGATTATGAAGAAAAAACATAAACTAAAAATCAATGATTCAACGTGTTTTAATAAGAAAATCATATTATATGGTACATTATTTAAACCATACTTTTAGAAGTACGATATTATGATAGAAAATAAACAATAGTATAATGTTATAATTAACAAAAGTATCATAATTTTGTTAACCATAACATCATATTTTTGTTTATTTTCTATTATAACATTGTACATTTAATATTATATTACATAATATTATGATATAAAAAATATATCGTTTAATTTGATTTTATATTTAATTTAATTTGATTTTATAAGTGCAACTCCAACCTTAACACTATGTTCAACACTATTTTTGTGTAAATTTTACACCAAAACATTTTTCAATTCCAATCACACTCTAAAAACTTACACCAAAAACATATTTTAATATTATAATAACATTATCATTATATTATTTCTTATAACTATATTTAATATCTAAATTAGTAATAGAAAGTTTAATTAAATAGTTTTACAAAACAGTTTATGATTATGAATAATTTTAAACTAAAATACCAGGTTACTGCATATATGTTTAAGTTTTTTACAACACAAGTTTTTATTATCTTCGATTCTTTTATTTCCATAATATCCTAACAATTATAAAATATAATTATAAAGAATCGGTTTAGTGTAATGAAGCATCACAAGATTTGGTTTTAATTTTTTAAATTAATTTAAATTGATTTTATAATTAATTTAATTTAATTTTAAAATTAATATTAATTTGATTTTATAATTAATTTAATTTGAATTGAAAATTAACTTAGTTTGGCTTTCTAAATAATTTAATATTTTCTTTTTTTTTTGTTATTAGTTTAATTACTTAAATTAATTTAATTTGATTTTATAATTAATATTAATTTGATTTTATAATTAATTTAATTTGATTTGAAAATTAACTTAGTTTGATTTTCTAATTAAATTAATATTTTCTTTTTTGTTATCAGTTTAATTTTTTAAATTAAATTAATTTGATTTGATATTATTTTAATATTAATATTAGTTTTATTTATAATTTATATTAACTTGATTTTATAATTTATATATTTTATTTTAATATTAATATTACTTTTATTTTATAATTAATATTAATTTGATTTTATAATTATGTAGTATATTCTTTCAATACAAAGGAAGGAACTAAGAGATAGTTTTTATGAAAAGCACAATATTTTAAATTTTTTCCCTTTTCAAGTGCACAAAACTTTTGTTATGGTTTGTGTGTGCCCGTTAATTTTGGTATGAAATATAAATCAATTTCATGTTTTTTGGATGTAGAAGATTTTGTTTTTATGAAAACCAGTTTCTTCCTTCATATTAACATGTTAGCAAGCTAAACTTTTTTTTATTGTCATATGTTTTATTGGTCTTGGTATTGATAATGCTTATATTACTCCGTTATTCTTTTATTGATATTACTCTTTGTAATGTGTCATACTTAACATCCTATTACATTATTCTTTTGGTGATATTACTCTTTGTAATATACAAACTTTGTTTTCCACACATTACATACATAAATACACACATTATACATACAAATACACATAAACATTTTCCTATATTATTCATTATAACATCATACTTATTTTTCTATCATAGCAACCTATTTTTTTTCATTTTTTTTTTATTTTTTTCATTTTTTCCATACATACAAATCACATATATAATTTCAAAACTCATATACACATACACAAATAATACACATACAAAAAACAATTCCGACAACAATTCTGATAAGAATTCCAAAATTTCAAATAATAACCATACAAATAACACACAAAAGCATACAAATCACGTATATAATTTTAAAAGTCATGAAAAGGAACCTGTGCTGGTGTAATTTCAAGATTTGCCAGTAAGAATTCTAAATTTCCGGCAATAGATCCGGTAGAAATAGATTTTCAGGCAAGGGTTCAAAAGACCTTAAATTAAACACTTAAAATCAGTAAGGAAAACACCAAAACAGAAGTTGAGTAGAAAATAAGGGAGAAATTGGACCTTAAATCGATCCTTTTCTTGTCGGAAATGAATGTGATCGTCGGTAATAATGGAGCTCCACTAGTGGCCGGCGGTAATGGTTGCCGGAGACCAGTCTGTGGCGCAAATGAAGGTCGTCGGATAATTGAAGGCTATAGTCGCCGGTAATCGTTTGGAAGAAATATAGGAGGCAAAACGAACAGGAAAGAGACGCAATGGGGGATTATCTACGATAGCATATTAGCGTCGACGCTAGGGTTTTAGCGGAGACAAGTGGGTATCAGCGACGACAACCCTATAGGGAAAAGTCAGCGCATTTTTTTTCTCATTTCCAATCGTTGAATGAAAAGTAGATAGGACGGACATGGTTGATTTGACGCGGATTGATACTGTATAAGCATTAGTGGTGACGCCTTTAGTGGCGACATCTACTATTAGCGGCGACATGTAACGCATCAATTACGTGTCGCCGCTAACAGTGGCTGTCATCGCTAAAGGCGTCGCCGCTAATGCTCCCCTTTCTTGTAGTGATTTCTAACATTTCAAAAGTCTAGGGATCCATCAGGTAACTTCAAGAAGTAAATGGGCCAAACTGAAGTACTTCAGGAAAATTGAGACATTTTTGAAACTTTTCTGAAGTGCAGGGACCAATCTGCTAGCTTTTAAAAGGATAGGGATCAATCTGAAGTATAATGGTATTTTCAAGGACCAACATGCAGTTTTTTGGGATTACAGTCAACCTAACGACGTTGCAGCTGATGTCAACATCAAATTAACAGGGTCGATTTCTCTAGCCAGAGCAGTGTGTAACAAATCTGGAGTGGTGTCAAGAATTGTACAGTGTCTAACTTATCAGGAATGCTGTCAAGAATTGTGAAACATTCTAGCATAGTAACAAAAGATTTTTTTTGTTTGTGATAATAAAATGACTTGGTAACTCCATGAATTAACAATCAGGACACGATCTTACTGTATAAAATCTATAAAGCTCTCTTAGATGGCAGAATTCAAACATTCTGCCATTAGCCATGTTTACACCATGCATGGATGTACCACCATCGTAACTCTCTTGAAAACGGAGGGCATGATCTTACACCCATTGTGGTTCATCACAAAAAAAACATACATCAACAACAACAATGTTTACAGGCAATTTCAAAGACGATTAAAGAATCACCAATTTAACGCATCGTGGGATTATTGATTGGAGTTGCCGCTTGGCAGATTATCTAGCAACTTTCTCATTCATGTTGGAGAACATCATTGATGTTGGAGTTCCCTTCTGAGCCTGGCACCGAGGATCTATCAAAATTTCCTTCCGCACCACAGCATTGTCTATGAAGTAAGCCACAAGTTCAAGATCACTCCCTCGACCATAATACCCATGAATCTCAACTAGCTTCAAGTGTTCATGGGGTCGCGTAGCACCTCCCCTTACATCCCTTCTCCTATTGATCGGTGAAATCCATAAGAGCTGCAAATGAAGAACATTAATTTATTACATGCATGCATAAAAAGCAAAACTATCATCCGATCTGTTAACAATATCCTTACAAAGATATCTATCATATCATATGTTATTTAAAGAATCATGCGATTTGGAGAATCTCACACATCATATATATCTAGTTTTGTAATCTCATAAAGAATACGAAAAGCGAACGGCAATGTAGGATCAACAAAAAACATAATTTTTAATGATCTACCAAATACAATTGATGGACTAAACTAAGTATAGCAATTAAACAATGAACAAACGTTAATTTAATGGTAATTTTAACCGTTACAACGTGTACTTCATATGGTTGATCAATAAACTAACACTTCTTAAAAAGGTAAATAAGGCATCCAAGTGAGAAGAATATATAAACTGCAAACCCCTTCGCGTCAAGTAAAACCTAGTAGCGGTTTTGTATCGGTGCCCAAAGTGGCACCAGCAATACCTACTATGCATTCCTGCTTCCGCCCCTGCTAGACTACCTCGTAGTTACTTTTTACAGCTCTTTGTTGTATGGATATATATAATGTTTCTTTTTAAGTTGCAGGTCGTCCATTGATAGCCTACATCTTACATGCTCCTTATGCCATTTCTATAGGATTGAGCATTGGGGCATAATTATCATTTGTAAACACAATTCTTATTTGAATTTAACAAATTTCTTAAATCCCATAGTTTTCGATGCAATACTTATTGTGTCTTGCAAGATTACATACACAAAAAAAACACTAGTGCAGTTCACAAGAGAACATGTAGACAGAGAAGTATAACATGTTCTCATATTAATATCAACAAGGACAGTAATAAGAATGCGATATATTTACAATTAAATGAACTTGTTATTGGACATAACATAAGTACCTTAATCAGAAAAGCCTCCAAACTTGGACATGAGTTGGCTAGTGAAGCGACCTCTAGCAGGGAGTCATCTTCATGAGTTCCAATTGTCAACCTCAGGTTCTTGACATTAGGTAGTTCAGGAATGGAAGCAAGGATTAAACTTTGCTGCAAAAACAAGAATTATTACTCTCATGAAATTTCCATTATACATTATAAAAGACATTAGAGATTAACTACTAACCTTTGGTCGGCCTATTTTGAACGAAAGAGCTTGAATGTACGAAAAAGAAGTTGATATTTTCCCAAATACTTTAGTTTTTAACCCTGCAAGCCCTCGACCAATATCCAGTTCTTTAAGCTTTGGAAGATCAGTGAGACCTAAATCTATGGCTTGACCGTTGTAGATGAATGATATAAGGTTAAAATCATATAAATAAATGGATTCAACCTCACAACAGTTTGTTATTTCTAAGTGTTTCAAGTTAAGAGCTTTTCCACCAATTTCAACATGCATCAAGTATAGGGAACGATGGATACAAAGCCTTTCAAGTTGTGGAGAATTTACAAGAAGTTCCTCTAAGATTGCATTACTCACGTTAACGCTCTTCGAGACGAGCTTTTTCCGAGAAATTAGCTCCACAACTGCAACAGTTGAGGATGGTAATTTGCAAAGGTGCTCTATGTTTCTATCTGATAACCGTAATGGGAAATCATAATTAAAACAAGGATCACGAATCTTAATAACTTCAAATTGGAGCTCCTTATCAATAACTTCTGCATTACCTGCATACAAATCGAAACGAATCCGGAAGTGTTGAATTACAGGTTCGTTGTAACTTTCGATTACATCGATTGACCTGTTTGAAGAACTTAGACTGTGCTTCACGAAGAAGCTTCCGATCTGTAACAATATCATTTAATGTTTCACCAGCATCGAATTCCAATTTGTGAAACTTACACCACAAGAATTTCCATCCTCCTCCGGCATTGGGTTGATGAAATCTTTTGACTTTAATCCTCGACGACCCACCTTCACAGAATGCATGTCATTAATAATGTAAAAAGTCAAAATTATTCGTATATATGTAAAACGGAACAAGGTTACAGCTTTCAATGTAACCCTAGGTGAAGAGTATGTTCATTAAAGATAAATGATTGTCTACAAACTTTCTCCTTTTAGGCATTATCAAAACAAAGATATGAAATGAAACTTATAGTTGCTAAAACACCGGATCAAACATGAACAAGACTGAGACTGCTGTTATCGGATTGATATTTAACAGCTGAAATCGTCACATTTGCTATTTTAGCAGCAAAATTAAGAAATTGCAATATGTATACTCATTAACGATAGATGATAGCCCATGGAAACAAAATTTAGGAGGATAATCAACATCTGATTGTCACAATTAACTTCAGTTACTTTATTTTCAAAATGCCCTCACCGGAAAAATGAATTGCTAAATCACTAACCGCAAACAATTCACAAGTAACCATCACATATAAAAGAGGTAAATGAAGAAAGCACCTTAACTCGATCAGCCCTTTTCCTCATTGTGGAGCTTAGACGAAGAAGAAAATGACGACAGCGCAAGCACAAGCGTGAGGCAGAGAGTAGAGACTAAAAGTTGGCCGAAGCTTGTGAACTAAAGTAAGTGTCCGAGCGGTGCTTTTTTATATTGTCTTCTAGAATCTAGCTAGATTCTAGAATTCCGACCTTTTAATTGTAATTGCCCCTAAATTTTGTTACATCCTGGTCCACGGATATGTTCCAAAAAGTATTATTTTCATAGCGAATCAAGTTTATGTCTTTCTTTTCACTTTTTTTCGATTTATAGTTTTTTAACCGATTAAATTATCTTTTACTATCTTTTATCTTTTCGGCTTTTACCTTTTACCATTTATATGATTTACTATTTAAATTAAACTAGTATATATAAATAAAATAGCCAAAAACGTATAGTAGTTTGTTGAGTCCTATAAACGGGTCGGGTGGTATTAAAAAAAAAACATCTTACAATTGTACCAAAACGATGTTTAATATCTTTTTAAATATTTTGATAATTGTATCATTATTAATAAACATATTTTTCAATATATGACACTAAGTGGTCATTTAGAAATTCTATTAGGTAATTAAGTATTTTGGCTATTAAGATATATCAATGATGGGATTTAAAAGTCTATTAATTATTATTATTATTATTATTATTATTATTATTATTATTATTATTTACAAAAGAAATTAAGGTATGTCAGTCAAAAAATTTTAGAGAGGCTGAAAATATATTATATATATTAAGGTAACAATTTTTTTAGGTGATTCAAGTGACCTACCTTGACACTGTATTTACTCGTCATTGCTAACAAGAAGCTAGCACACATGATTACAACGGATGGAGTACTCGTATTGCTTATCAACCAGAAAAAATTAACTGTAACATCTTAAAAAGTACATCACATCAACCCCTTGAAGTCTCTGATAAATGCGAGATGACAACTCTCCAAGAAAAAAAAAACAAGAATGTTGGAAAATTTTCTCGATATCATTCATAAACTCTACTGACAAATTACATCCAATTAAATAAGCAAATAGATAATTAGAAATCGACAAATGCTAGTTGTCATGGGCGTTATGTTAGCCTAATAGGTGAGCTAAAAAGAAGCAACAAAAAAAAACTGGAAATGACTAACTCAATCCTGACTTAGTGTTCCATAATAAACCCGTTAATGTCTTAATTCATTAAGTCCAAGACTGCATAAATTAATCATAGGACATTATCGAGTATAATTTAAAGTTCAATTAGCAGTTTAACGTGGGTCCCAAGAAAACTTCAAAACTAGGGTTTTCTTGACATTAGGGTTTTCTAATCCGTAATTGGCATTTCCAACCAAAACACGTGTCACTCGGACTAAGGTTAGACGCATAGGTCATTTAGTGTTTAGGAATTCCGGCACTACCCACTACCACCACTGGCACTTGTGGTCGAAGGTGGTCCATGGCGGCGAGAGGCGGTAACCACCGATTTTTAATGTTGAAAGATATAAATTTTAGGCCAAAACACTATCAAAAGCATTTCGGTTCACACAAAACGTCAATCCAACACATACATGCATATACAACCACCGAAGATGGTGGCTAGTGGCATTAAAAATGCGGCAGCCGCCATGGTTGGCTGCCATGGAGATTGTCTTTGCTTTTCCGACCAACAAAACACATACACACACCTCCTCAACTCCCCACACGATCAATATACGCACCCACACTAACAAAACACGAATACAACTAAAATCACACTCTTGGTGGAGGATATCGGTCAGAGGAATAACAAAAAGAACAACCGCTCGGAGTGGCAACAACTGTGGAGTAACATGGAATAATAGGAAATGAGTCGGAGAAGAGAAATATTGTTCGACCCTAAATAAGAACAACTGAAACAGCAGCCACGATCCTCCGGTTCTTCCGATGTTCCCAACAGTCACGATGTTAGCCTCGTCGATTCTCATCTTCATCAGTAGCATCAACAATGGTGTTTGCTCAGTGGTTCACGATGGCGACAAGGAATAAGGGGAGGGGCGTCGGGTTGTTTTTAAACGAGGGAACAACGGAAGTGGTGCCAGGTTTCATTCGCATCTCCATCTCTTCAAACTTAATTCCATTTTTTACACTTTTAGCCCCCCTGTCACAAACATTTTTAGATTAGGTCCATTATTTACCAAACAGCCCCCAGCTTCCACAATTCTATTCACGACTAGTCCAAAAGCTACACTTTAACCCCGATTTCCAGAAGTTACAATTCTCCCCTACTTAAATTAGATTTCATCCTCGAAATTATCCATCGCTTCTACTTCAAGATGTACTCCTCCACAACAACCAATATGTATGAAAATTTGTAGAATTAATCGGTCCCAGAGCTTCTCGACCAAACACCGGCATGCTAATCCCGCACCTTAAGGGCATCACCACGATAAAAACTAACTGATCCTACACTGAGCTAAACAACACTCCTGCTTGGCTCTAACAATCCAACTAAGTTCTCCATTATCAACACTCAGGCTTATCCCCCGATCAGTCGATAACAGACAAGTAAATCCTCAACCTGATCTACTAAGAACCTATGGTCTAAGCATAAGCACACCCTACAGATGTTACCACAACTAACACTAATATGAACCGGAAGGAAAATCCAACAGATGGCGGTGATCTCGCCGCGAAAACAGAAGATAATCCCATTTAATAGATGACGATGCTTCATCCATTGATAACAAGAGATCAATTTAAACAAAGCTAAATAAGATAATCCCATTTAACGGATCATCCAATATTACAATTGAACTTCAAATCATAAACAAAAACTACTAATGAATACCAATACCACCAAAACTGCTAAATAGAACAAATTCCAACTCAACTTTCGGTTCTCAGGACCTCGGTGGTCCTATGACGATCATCCGGTAACTGCCAAGCTAAGTGTGTAGGACCCAACACCTCACTGAGAAAAGGAAAATGAGCTCTGATGTGGCCTTTCTGACTACAATGGAAACAAACACGTGCAATCCGCCTACAATCTCTACCAAAATGGCCCTCTTCACGATACATGTGGTATACAGAAGATCTGTGTCTCCCTCTAATTGATCCTGAACTTTGGCCGGGGGATCTGAAACGCTTAGTTGTAGGATATGAAAGGTTTGAAGCCTGGAACTACTCCTTTGTTTGGGTCTCTACCTTAATATATCGTCTCCTCGCAACATCCTGAACCTTAGGGAGAGTGTTGTATTTCTGAGTACACACAAACTGCTTAATGTCCATCTTGAGCATGCTCAAATATCCAGTCATCTACGCTTGCTCTGAAACAACAAACTTAGGACTAAATAAAGCCCTCTCAGTGAACATCTTGGTGGTCTCCATCACTAAGTCGATCGTCTGTCTCAGATCTAGGTACTATTGGGCCCTTATTTCGCTCTCTACCAGGGGAACATACCTTGAATAGAACATCTTTGAGAACTACTCCCAAGTCATCGCGAGCCTCTGCTTAGGAGTATAAAACTAGTTACCGGTCTCCACCAATCCCTTACCCCTAAAATAAAAAGGTTTATGGCATACTTGACCTTCTGTTCATCCAAAAAAGAACACATGAAGAAAGAACCCCTACATCAGACAACCATGTCATCGCCTCAACCAGGTCTGAGACCTCATCAAACTCTAGGGGCTTCGGTTTATCATAGTCCCGATACTGGAAACGTCTCTTTCCTCAAGCCCTAATGGTAGGAACAACCACGGTAGCTGCAGCAACAACAACCTCAGAAATTACATCATAACGACCATCAAATAGCTCAATCATGGTAGTTTTGACCATCGCGAACAACTTTGGTGTAATCTCCCTAATCACCTCTGCCACTTCTGCAACAACTATCCCACGAATCTCCTCCTCACTCAAACATGCTCTCCTAGTGTCGCCGACTCTTAATCATGAACCTTCAATGGCCGCTATACTGAAAATACAACAAGAAACGATCAGACATCACAACACAATGATAAACAGACCCGAACCTACTCCTATTAGTTCCTTAGCTTCCTTTAAAATTCCTCCCGGATCTCATATGAATCATGTGCTTTCATTAGTACGGGCCCATACTACCTTCCACACTTATCTGTAGTTGATTCAGAATTCATCTCAAGGTTCTAAGTCACTCAACTAAGCCACCCCTAGGTGTGCTAGCATCCACTTCTCCTATGAGCTACAACTAACTTCCTAAACACTCTTCCTATGATTACCCTCGCTCATACACCACTAGCTGCTTTTATGAATCCTTTTTGTACATAATACGGGATGAGATAGACTGTCAAATAATCAACTTCGCCCTAGTCCACAACCAAACAAGGAACATGAAGTAAGGCCAAGGCGATCATTCTATGGCTATTTAATCCCGACCGTATACAACTAATCAACATAAACGTAGCAATTACACAATCAAAAGCATATATCAGGCAAACAACTCCCTATATCATAAGGCATCATAGAAAACAGGCATTTCTATACAAAATTCCTAAAGAACCTTATCCAATAACATGCTTTTCTAACAATGTATATATCAGCAAAATTAAACTCAGCAAACATAACAAGTATGAGTATTTTGGGAACCACTCTCCTTTTCGGGCTTTAGTTGACTGTACGGAACTGTATTTTGAGACTGGATTCACACAAGTGTTCCTTCAATTAACTCAAACGATGGCTCTAATACCAACTTGTAACATCACATTTTTCACAACCCAAATATTTCATTTTTATTTAGGTAAAACTCTCCAATTTATAAATCCATTATTTAGAAATCCATTGTTTAGAAATCCATTTATTCCAAATTACAAGTATTTAAAATTAGAGTATTATAGAAAACACAGAATCCTCAATGTTCTTGGCAAGTGTATACAATCCCGCTTTCACCATCCATAGATACCGATGATACCTGAAATAATAATCAACTGGATAAGCATAAAGCTTGGTGAGTTTACTCCAAAATACCACACATAACAAAAAAGTAAACAAGCAACAGACCCAATCAGTTATTAGATTGGAATGCCCAACTACACGGGTTTATTGGCCTTACCGCCTCAACCCAACCGCTTATCCCGAGCCTCTGTGAGTACGGTTTACAGCCGAACCGCACCAGGTATCTTGGTCTACAACACAAAGCAAAACCGCCCAAACCCAAACCAAACACAACATGTCAACATGTAAACAATCAAGGGTCAAGTAGGCGCGTAATACAGAAAAACATTAATCATACAACTCACTACCGCCTACTTGTTCTATCATAGCATATAATCATGCTACCAACTAAACTCCATGAAATGTGTAACCATAAGTAACCAGAGGTGAGATAGACACCCGAATAGATGATCCTACTCTAGAGCTACAACCAAACATGGAACATGCAAGAAAGCCTAGATCAAGAGTTCTCAGGCTATCCTACATGACTACAGAAAGTCCCTAGGGCACTCCACTAGATGGTAACCAACAAGTACAGATAACATACAGTTCAATATATATTATAGCAAAGCAACATACTCGATACCTGGATACGGATCTAACAGATCACTACAACAAAGAAACATACTCGATACTTGGATATAGATCTAACAGATCACTATAGCATAGCAACATAATCAATACCATGATACAGATATAACAGATCACTATAACATAGAAGCATACTAGATATCAACAATCCAAAGAATGTATGATCGTATATACTCAGTGGTGAGATAGAAACCCAAACAAGTGATCCTAATCTAGAACCACAACTAAATAAGAACATGTAAAAGAGCCTATATCAAGAGTCCTTAGTCTATCCTAGATGACTATATACAGTCCCTAAGGCACACCTCTACTAACAGATAACCAAAACTAGTGAGCCGATATAGGTGACTTCGACCCACGGGTACAGTAAGGCGAAACTCACATCGATATGTGCATAGGTAACCCCCGTAGTAATGAATAACTCTACTAGATTTAACTCACTCCCAATCACCTACAGGAAGATACTAGATTCAATACTTAATCACAGTTCATGGTCACTTGCAGCAGTGACTACTTCACATGAAATGACGATTAGGGTTTTACATAAAATAACGATTAGGGTTAAGTAAGGACATTTAACCCATTAAGGACTGAATCACCAAAGGGTAGGATTGTTTAAGGTTTGGCCTAGTCATTCACGGATATAATAATAATCTAATCAATATCCGAAATTCGTGCCCCGATCATTGTTTAAAATAGGGCCTCCTAATTCTAGGGCTTTCACATAAAATGATAAATAGGGTTAGTGTTCCACACTAAACCCCTTAAGGTCTTAATTCATTAAGTCCAATACTACATTAATTTAATCGTAGGGCATTATCAAGTATAATTTAAAGTTCAATTAGTATTTCAACGCGAGTCTCAACAAAACTCCAAAACTAGGGTATTCTTGACATTAAGGTTTTCTAAACCTTAATTAGGTTTTCCAAACCAAACACGTGTCACTCGGACTAGGGTTATATGCTTAGGTCATTTAGTGTTTAGCAAGTTGGGCACCACCCACTGACACCTCGGGCAATGGTGGTCAGTGGCGGTCTATGGCGGCGGGAGGCGGAACTCACCACTTTTTAATGGCAGAAGTTATAAATTTTACGCCAAAACACTATCCATAGCATTATGGTTCACACGAAATGTAAATCCAACACACAGATACGCACACAACCACCCAACGTGGTGGCTAGTGGTGAAAGTACCGCGACAACCACAATGGTGGTTCTCTTTGCTTTTCTGGCTAAAAAACACATACACACGCTTCTCCAACTCACCAAATCAGTAACACACATACCCACACTAACGAAACACGAACACAACTGCAACCACACTCTTAGTAGAGGACGACAGCCGGAGGAACAACAAAAGGAACATCTGCTTAGAGCGACGAAAAAGGCGGCGTAACAGAAAACGTGATGGAGAAGAGAAAGATTGCGCGACCCCAACTGAGAACAGCAGCAACAAAAACCATGATCCCCTGGTTCTTTCGGCTGTCCCAGCACTCACTACGTCAACCTCGCTGATTCTCGTCTTCGTCGACAGTAGTAGCGAAGGTATATGCTCGATGGTTCTCAATGGCGACAAAGAGATGGCGACTGCCGGAGGTTGGAGGGATAAGGGTTGTGGCTGCAACAATATTAGGGTTAAGATTTAGGGGTCGTGTTTTAAACGAGAGAACATAGGGAGGGGTGTCGAGTTTTATCCACCTCCATCTCTTCAAACTTACTTCATTTTTTTTTAACACTTTTAACCCCCCTGCCACAAACATCTTCAGATTAAATCCATTATTTAGCAAACAACCCCCAGCTTCTACAATTCTATTCATAGCTAGTCCGAAAGTTCCATTTTAACCTCCAATTTCCAGAAGTTATAACATTTAACTTCTTACACTAATACTCTGATTAATTATTACGGATTTAGGGCTAATATAAAAATATAAAAAATAAAAATACATCTCAAGGTTTTAGGGTTGATTTATATATTTATTTATTTATTAATTTATGTTATCTATAAATTATTTTATTTTAAACGGGATGTTACAAAATGTATTCTTTCATTAGACAGAAACAAGCTAAAATTTTGCCCATCCATAACACGATCAAGACATGGGCCATTGTTGCTTCGAACATAGGTAAAGTCATAAAGTTTTTCAATCTTGCCAAATTACAAGTGATTTAGAGCTACCAAAATGGTATTGATTTTAAAAATAAGCTCAAGAGCACTCATGACCTCGATTGTGCGGTGCAATTTTAGCTTTCATGAGGTTGAAAAATAAGGGAGGGGAGGTGATAGTTTATGTTGGTCTACATGGTGTATTGGCCCTAAAGAGGCTTGTCTAAGGTGCTTGTAATTCTAGTTTCTAGTTAGCTTTTCATTTATTGATTTTCCTTGCTTGTTGTTAAAAAAAAATAATTATAATGATTTTAAAATATAAAAATTCATTATAAATATTAAAAAATATATATTTAGAAAAATAGATTAGAGAAATATAATATTCTGGAAGATTAATAAAAATAAATATAATATCTAAAAATTTAAGTTACATAAATATGTATTTTGATATTTTAAAAATATATATTCATATTTAAAAATAAATAAATAAGATTCTTAAGAGCGCCGATGATTTTTTTTTTTTTTTTTTTTTTTAATTTATTGATTTTTTCCTTCCATTTTTAATGTCCCTGCTCGGTTCCTCGCCCTAACTTGGTATTTATACGAGTATGGGAAGTTGGAAGCGGTGGCTAAGAGCTAATAAAAATCTTTTTTGAAAACGACCCCAACTTTACTATAAAACCCACGCCTAGAAAGTTCCGCTTAAAAAGCTTCGGCAACACTAATCTCAAGCTCTTGCCTTTGCTGCTGTCTGTCATTTCTCAAAACATGGTGATTTCTTCATTAATTGTTAAAGATCTATTTGTTGTTACTTGTTAACTATGTCCCTGTTGAAATTTAGCGATTGAGTTTATAATATCGGTCATTATTTTATTAACTTCATCTCGAATTTTATGGTAATTGGTGTTAACTGTCAAAATCGGAAGTGGATTATCCACATAAAGTTATTTTTCATATCCAATGATTCCTGTTACTTGTTGTCGTTTGATGTTACTGAAATAGGGATTGACTTTCTTAGTTTAGGTCGTTGTTTCCATAATTTCATTTCACATTTTTAGGTAACTATAGGTGATTTTGAAAATCGGACATGGATTATCCCCAAAGATTTCTTTTCTATGTGCGTTCATTTTAACTAATAAGAATGATTGTTGCTATGAAATCGATGCCCTTGGTTCACTTCATTTTTTGTCATGTAGTCATATACTATATATTTAAGGAATGAATTTTTCAATTTGAAATGATGTTTTGTTCAATTAGTTTTGATTATCTACACGATGATATATAGATATAGTGAGTATTATTGTTCCATGGTTTTAAAGTTTTATTTGTGTAAATTACACAATGCATATTCTTATAACTTGCATTTGGTGAATGTGAGAATTCTTTTATTGTTATGCTTACTGATCACTTGAATTTGGTGTACGTGCGTGGACGAGTTTCAAGATCAAAGGATTTCATAAGCAACATGCCTAATGAAATTCTACTTATGATATTGTCTCTAATTCCCTTAAAGGATGCTGTGGCCACTGTAATTCTGTCTAAGAGATGGATATCTGTATGGTGTAACTTAATCCATCTCAGGATCGATGGTGGTGAAAGGTTAGACAAAATAATCAAGATTCCAATGTTGCGTGATCCAGTGCAATCAATGTACATCAGAAAGGTGAATGGTGTCATTAAAAATCACAAAGGTCCTCTTGTTCAAGAATTCCAGATTCGTTTCGATTTGGATTGTAGAAATAATCGTGCTATCGATTATTGGCTCCAGTTTGTGCTGAACAAGAAAGTTCAGACACTTGAACTGGATTTGATGAACCACGTCAAGTTTCGTATGCCTGCTAATTGCTATGACTTTCCAATACATTTTTTGACCGAAAATTGTAGAATATTTTTGGAGCTACATTACTTGAAGAAACTCGTATTGATGGGTGTTAATGTGAGAGAAGCAATCCTGCGGAATATACTAACAACTTCTCCACATCTTGAAACACTATATATGTACCCATGACTCAGGATACATGACACATGTTTAGTTGGTGGAGAACCTCTTAAACTGAAATATTTTGAAATAACAGGTTGTTCTAATATACGATCGACTTATTTATATGAGTTTGACCTTGTATCGTTCACCTACAAGGGTCCAACAATAGATTTACGTCTAGCTCATCTTCCAAAAATGAAAGAACTTGATATTTGCCTAGGAGCTGAAGGGTTACAAAATAATATATTCAGACAGATCGCATCTTGTGTTTCATACATTCAAGTTCTTTCCCTCAAGGTATTACAGTCGGTTAGTATGTAACTATGTATCATCTCTGGTGTGTTTCTTACCGTTTATGAAAATATTATGAGAGCATTGTCTTGGCTTTTTAGGAACGTTTGATGCTTAATTCCATTCCTGAACTACCAAATGTGAAGAAATTGAGGCTCACAATTGGAGCATATAATGATAACTGCTTGCTACGTTTCACTTACATAGCAAATGCATGTCCATGTTTGGAGACCTTCATGATTCAGGTATTTACACTATGTCCAATTATCGAGTTAACCGAACCATGCTACAACATGTTTAGGATAAACAAGGAAAGACATTAATCATTTTCTTGTCCAAATATCTTTCCCTTATATTAGAAAACCATCATCAGATACACAAATGGTAAGAAAGAAGCATAGATGTGGACAATTATCTAGATCTTTTGGAGTCGTTTTCTTATGATGCCATTGAGCCTTTCACTTAGGTTTCTTATAACGTATGTGACTAGGAAATTAGGTGTTGCTTGTGATTCTCTTGTTAATGCTGCAAATTAGATGCAATCTACAACTTTGTCAAAGATTGTGCAATACGATACAAAAATGTCATTAAGTTATCATTCCTTTTGCAGCTACTCTGGGGGTCACCCATCTAGAGGAAGAGGAAAGCAAGGCGTTACTCCACTCCTACTCGGCCCTATAACAACCTCTGTCTACTTGAACTCATGTGGTATTATGGACGGATGAGTGAGTTAGAACTAGTCACTCGTATAATCGAAAACGCTGCTGCACTGAAGCAAATCGTGATTGATCCTCACTGCCAAGGTCGGATTGGAAATACACCTGTAATGAAGTTGAAGAAGAACTTGAAGATTGAGGAAACTGCTCGAACTTATGCCCAGAGCCAGCTCAAATCAGTAACACCTCAGGGAGTTAAATTGGTGATTCTCTGACTTGCCTTTGAACTCGCAACCAGTGTTTGTTGTTTATGTATGTCAAATTCAGATAAACTACCATAGGGTTTTAATTAAGAACAAGGCATATCTTCTTCCTTTTGTTTAATTATAAATATTTTATTGGGATGAAATATACATTTCCCTTTTAACTCTCTAAATCCTCTTCTAATAAAAGACTCCTTAAATTACCACTTGTTGAATATCTACGCCCTTTATATGCCACGTGTCCTTCTTAGATGATGCCTCTTTTCTCTTTTCCCGCTCAAATATTTTAGCCGACTTTATTTGCTGTAAAATAAATTTTTAACCTTCTTTATTTCCCCTAATTTTCCTCCTCATTTAGTTTCCTTTCTTATTACAAATGCACCCCATAAAATCAGTATGAAATCATCATCAACAAATCAACAATTAATTCGCAAGAAATCACGAAACATAATCATCTCCAAAATTGAATCCATTTGACTAGGTTTTATTCGACTTCATATCTCGTCAGAATTAATCCACGCTTCTTCTCTTCGTTTCTTACCCACCAAGCTCCTCCAATTCCTTCCTCTTCAAGCAGCTTTCGACAGAGATAGGTGCAAATACGAAGATTAGATATGTGAGATCTCACTATTCTGCATTGGTTTTGTTTCAATGGAGATTTTCGAAGGTAAAAACAGATCTAATACAAATATTTCATTGTAATTTCAGTTTCATGACTAATTCTATTGAACCCCTTTCACAGTTTTGGTAATTTAAACTCTATCATCTGTTTGTTGATTGTAATCATTTTGAAATTTTTTGAGTTGTGTTCATTTATATTTTGTTCTTAATGCAGGGCCTTCATCGTTGATCTTTGCTGATGGTGGAGATTGAAGTTAATTTTGTAATCCATTAAATGAAACAAAAATCATCCAATCTTTTGTCACGCCAGGATTTTTGAACTATTGGATCCTCAACTACTTTCATCTATGTATGAAAGGAAGCTGCTAAAACCTTTTCACCTTTTTAATTTGGGCAGTGAGGTCTTTTTAGTTTGGGCCAGTGAGGTCTGGTGTAAGCAAGTGGTTCGTAACCTAAAGGAAATAATCTATTACTTTTTGTTTGTTTCTCCCATATAGCCTTTCTATCATGGTCTCCACGATTTGATGATATTGTATGATTGGCCAGAGATTTTGCTTAGATTGAAGTCATATCTAGATGAGACACTATTCAAAAGTTGAGTGAGAGAAGTTTAACAAGATATGACCTTTTCTTAGTAAAAGAAAATTGAAAGAATTATACTTCAAAGATAGATATGTTTGATGGTTATGTATGATTTATTATTTTATCTTATGCTTACGGGTGATTTTAGGAGTTAATCGCCCATATATTATCAAAGTAAATCCCATGAAGATATTGGTTATTGACATACTCAGAATTGTATAGCTTCTTTTTTAATTTCCCTAAAAAGTTACATGGGAATCCATCAAATATGTATGTTTGCTGATATGGATTGTTTACTTATGAATATCATGAATTTTTGTCTTTAAGTTTGTTTTATTTGTGTTTTATGGCAGGAAGAGAAGGGTGGGTGATTCCTAGATGTTTTTTTTTCTTTTTAGCAGTGCTTTACAGCAACTGGTTAATGTGGCTACTTCATTCCATTTCAGCTTGATATCGGTCAGCCCCTACCTGATCCTGTGTTGCTTTTGGAGTAAATAATTATTGGACGCAAGGTACATTTCTAATATTAAATTGATAACACTATAACATATTTTTGGTTAATTAGCATTTTTCACTTTATGGTGATGTTTCCATGATTTGATAGTGAATGAAAATGTACAAAATGGATTCAACAACAATATGGAATTAGAAATCAAGCATAATTATGGACAAACAGGTGTGTGTGTGTGTCTATATATATATATATATATATATATATATATATATATATATATATATATATATATATATAGTGATTTATCTGTACTATAATTCTAAAGTATTTGACCTGAAATGGTTAAAAATTCAAATCTATCTCCAATACAAATAAGCAGAGGATTTTATTATTTTTACTTTAAATGTTTAAGAAATTTTCAAAATAGAACCAAGAACACCCCTTTGCCTTCCAAGTTTCAATACAGTGTGTCATGTTAGATATGGAGGGAATGGTTACTTCCACTTAAAACGTTGGAAGATTTTAGTAAGTAAAATAAAGTAAAAGAAATTTTAACATTAACTTGAATACCAAAGGCCCAAAATGTATGTGTACCATCACCATTCATTTCGGATTTCTATCCTTGATCGTTGCAATGTTATCTTCTTTTAGGTGGGTTGTTAAAATTTGGAGTTTGGACGTGGCATTGAAACTTGCATATTCGATAAGCTTCATAAATTTGCCACTTCTAAGGTTCAAAACATTAACTTTAATTCATCATTTCAATTTTGTATTCGTTTTAGTTTTTAAACAATATGGTTTTCTTTTCAATATGTCAACACATGTTGGTGGGAAATGCAAGCTTGGTTGCTGCTTGGTGTCACTCACTCCACTGGAGGTGATGATATTGATAAGAACTCTATTTTTACAGAAACTTTAATTTATTTATAAATTTTGCAAATATCTTTAATTTGTGAGCTTTATATCAATATAACACGTTTGCATAAACATCTTGTTGGTTCCACAAACATCCTTTTGAAATCCAATCCTTTTTTTTTTCTAATTTCCTATCAATTTTGGTCCGAGTGTCGTCAAAGTTAACATTTAACTGTCAAAATTATATAATGACCACAGGGACCAAATTTGTTATGTACCCTAATATGTGTTATTTGTTTTCTGGAAATTAACCTTTAGAAAATTTTGAATTTTTAGTCATGGATCATGCTCAAATGATTAGTTATGGATTTATATTTTATGGTTCTTATGAATTGTTGCTATGTTAGGGGAATACTGAGTGCTTGTAATGATCTTTCACAATATTACCGACAAAATATTTAATTTTATAAAAAAAAATGAAAATTTAGGATTAATGATTTTGCACGTTGTTAAATTTTAATATTGTTTTACTTTCCTTTGCAAAACATAGTATTTATTTTTGGACTTTTTTAGTTTTATTTTAACACTGATATTTTATTTTCTACCGATTGTGATCGAGTAATACATAAGAGCTTTGTATAATTAGACCAAATGAATTAAGCAATGTCAAATAAAACAAAATTTTCAAGCCTAATTTCCTACATAAACCAAAACGTCTTATGATAATAGAACATTAGAGTTCTACATTTATATCGAAATCTTACAAATTTGCATTTTGAAAGACCTTTCGGAGTCACTTTTTGAAAAGGAGAATATACTGAACCTAATGTCAAAGGGGGTGATATAAATCTTGAGGATCATTAAACATGAAAACAATTTTTTTATTTGAAGTTACGAACATGTGTATCACACGGTTAACATATCAAACTTTGTAAATAAATTAATGATTTGTAAATTAATGAATAATGATTCTTATTTTTAGTCAATACATTATTTTACTTCGTGATCCGTGGTTTCCACGGGTTATAACCTAGTATGCCTATTAAACACAATCTCATAAGAGTAAAGAGGACTGTTTGCTAATCTTTTCTTAAAAAGCCTTCATTTTTTTTTTTACTAAAACAAACAACTATATCTTATGGCAAACTTACATGACTTGGTTGTTATTTATTTCATTTGAATTGCTTCCTATAAACTGTGTCCATGTTAATAGATTATTATGCAGTGGAATACATAATTAAATCACAAAATAATTATATCATATAGGGAAAATGACACATATAGCCCACAAACTTTTTAGGGTTGACAATTTTACTCACTTAAGTTTTTTCGTGGATTTATGAGGGAACCAAGTTGTAGGAAACCAGTCTTTTTAGTTTTTTTTACTTGTTTTAGTTAGTTTAGGTGGTACATACACAAAATTTTGGGCCCACCTCTCTCTCTCTCTCTCTCTCTATATATATATATATATATATATATACACACACACACACACAGAGAGAGAGAGAGAAAATATCATCTTCTATATTTCTGTTTATATGCATATCTTATATCTAAATGCATAGAGTTCTAGTGATATGAGGGCTAAACGTATCAACTCCTATGCAGTCATCTTGCTCCTCCAGACTCCTATTTTTTCTAGGTATAACCACAACTTAGACCCCTCCTTACTTCATCCTGCCGAGCAACAACACCACAAACAACCATTTGTGAGTTGCTTCTACCCTCAAACACCAGATCGGCCATGACAATGGCCAAATCGAAGTTGAAGGCCACCGGAAATCGACCTCCCCACCTCCTTTTGTTGGTCTTTGCAGCCTTCCCATCACCGATCTGCCTCTTCCCTCTTCATAATCCTGCTGGTCGGACTGGAAGGCAACAATCTAGAGGTCATCAGAATAATCCCTACGACCATTGCTATCATTTTCAGTCTCTACAACTTCGATTTAAAAGCTTGATCTCCGGAAATCGGTTTCTGTTCCACCCTCCACCTTACCGGTTGACTTCAAAGATAACCCCCCTGAAGCCGTTGATCCGCCTTGGCCCTTTTCCTTTCACGTTTTCTTCTAGAAAAATGAGACAAACGAGAGCATGGTCTAATTTCCTTGAGATTTGTTTTTGCGATGAATAGAATTTGTTGATCCGCCTTGGCCCTTTTCCTTTCACGTTTTCTTCTAGAAAAATGAGACAAACGAGAGCATGGTCTAATTTCCTTGAGATTTGTTTTTGCGATGAATAGAATTTGATGGAGTGAGGGCTAGTCAAAAGCACCACCATCAAAGAAGCCTCCTTGAACTCTCCAAATTAAAGAACTTAAACTGAACATAGTTGGTGATGTGGCAAGTTTGGTCAACAAATTGGAAAAATTCATAGTCAATTTAGGGGAATTGGTCAACAAATGCAATTGTGGCAAAGGGGTAACCAGGTGACCCCTCACTTTGGCCAAAAGGACTTAATCAACCCCACAAAAAGGACTTGGTTCCCTCATAAAGTCATCAAA